ATATACAGGGTGTTTCCAAATTAAATGGCAAAACTTCGGGAGCGTGTAGAGGAGTAAAAAACTAAGAAAAAAAGTCCTATAGACATATGCTCCTTTTTGCTTTGTTTCGCAGGAAATCACGAAAAAAGAAAAAAATATATTTAATTTATTATTTTAATTATTTTATTTATAAACTTTTTAATGAAGATTTTGTTCGAAATGTGCACCTCTTGCAGCAATACAAGCATTGCATCTGTCAAACACGGCTCTTGTAGCAGCCAGGCACTGTTCTTGCGATATTCTGTTCGCTGCAGCTACGATACGATTTCTCAAATGTTGCTCTGATTGAATAGGCGAAGAATAAACTTCTTGCTTCAGAGTACCCCATGCATAGAAATCTAATGGCGTTAAGTCGGGCGAACGAGTTGCCCAATGTACTGCTCCTCCACGTCCAATCCATCGTTGTGGGAATTTTCTATCTAACCAGGTTCTAGCGACTCTGCTGTAATGAGCAGGGCATCCATCTAATTGAAACCACATTTCAGTACGTTGTTGTAATGGGATGTTTTCTAAATAGTCAGAAAATTCATTCTCCAAGAAATTTAGAAAACGGTCCCCATTTAATCTTGCAGGTAAAAAAAACATTTTTTTTCGATTTCTCTGAAACGGAGCAAAAACGAGCATATGTCTATAGGACTTTTTTTCTTAGTTTTTTACTCCTCTACACGCTCCCGAAGTTTTGCGATTTAATTTGGAAACACCCTGTATATATAATAAATAATTACAATAAATACAAATATATATTGCGACCGCACTCACGAGCGTGGTGCCACTTCGTCGCGCGTTCGCGAGTGTTGCTCTACCTCTCCTTAGTCGGTACCTTCGCGACAACAAAAAAAGCTCAACGCCACAACGGCTTTCTCAAATTTTACATACTCTAAACTTCACGTCAATAATTGGGCGCCAGGCACGAGAGAGCGTGCCACTTTTTCTTGAATCTTTTCGGTACGTTCTCACTCGAAAA